TCCAAGCTGATGTCAGATTAAGCTGCACAATGGGTCTAACAGAGCACAAAACTGAGTGAACTGGTACCACATTCATTTTATTTCTAAATAATTTTTTTTCTAAGCAAAAGGTAAGACTACACTTTGCTATACATTTAACAGACTCAAAGCTCACACAATGTTTATGCTTAATGAAGGAGACAGGGCTGCAGGGGCACTTGGCCTTAGACTCTCGGGAGGAATGTATCAGGTTTGGGATCTCTTATGAAATAAGTTGCTTGAAAGACCTGAGCTGGGCATTACTGTCAAATTTAGGATACAGGAGGGACTGTGTGTGCAGTGTTGGGCAAAACTGATTTTAGTGAGACCTTGGAGAGGTGGTGGGAGTAAACAGCTGGGCTAGAGGAAGGCTCAAAGTCACACTGTGAGGAGGTGAAAGTGAAGGTAGGTACTGAGAGTGGTTTGCAGAGTATATGGAACAGCTGTGTCTTTTATGATAAGCTCAAACACTGCACAGTGCAGTACAAATGAGACACTGTGAGATGATTAACTGTGTTTGCACAGGGCCCTGTCTGCACTCGTACCCAGAGGGAGAGCATTTTCCTAACCTGTCTAGGCTGCTGCTCTCTCCCTGTTCCTCCTACCTGAAGACAGAGAGAGCCAACAGCCTCTCCTGCTCTACCTTCAGCTGCTGGCAGCATCACACTCCGGCATGCAGAGTACAGAGGGCAAGGGTAGCCTGCTCCCCTGATGCTGCTAGTGGCGGGGGCAGAGTGGGCAGATAAGGAGATGGGGCTGGGAGGAAGGCTCACAGAAAGGTCCACAAGTGGGCATTTCAGCTGTTCAGGCTGCTCAGAGTATCACCAGCTGGAGAGGTTACATCATTTCCCCTTGATCCTGCACTCTCCCCAAATCTTGCTCTACACATGAACCTGTGTGGCCACAAATCTATTCCAATGCTCCATCACCTCTGTGGTAAAGAAGTTCTTCCTCATGTTCAGGTGGAACTTCCTGTGTTTTAGTTCACGCCCATTGTCTCTTGTGCTATCACTTGGCATCACTGAAAAGAATCTGGCCTCATCCTTTTGACACCCTCCCATCAGATACTTACACACATAGACCAGATCCCACTCTTCTCAAGGCTGAACAGGCCCAGCTCCCGTTTATTTCTTTATTGACAAGCACAGAGTCAAGGTCTGCAGAAAAGGGAGGATGATTTGAGTGCCAACAGACCCCCCTGCCAATAACCAAGAACTGATGAAAACTCTGAGTAGGAAGGTAATTCACAAACACACAAGGAGAAGAATGCCATCTAACTGGATCTTCAAAGCAGAATTATATTGCTATATCCCCTACAGCTATCTAAAGGCAATGAAGAGACTATAGGGCTCGTGTATTGATGCTCTCAATCTTATCTTCATTTTATGTTCTTTAGCTGTAGAGATTAATTCCTTGATTAAAGATCATGGCTAAGATTCAGAAAGCTGAACCTTAGGGGACTATGATTATAGCTGAATGCTCTGGGGCTTGCAGATTCAGGACATCAATGGATCTTGCATGGGGGCCATACTTTACATTATCTTTCTCTGAAGGCATGGTATTCTGGATATAATTATGCTGATGCTACAGCTAGAGCCAGGACTGGGAGTTCAAAGCCTCAAGGCCCTGGATTATTGCAGGATGTTTTAAGGACTGCAAGTAGGAAGAAAGGTTGTGCCAGCTGGAACCAGTGCTTTATAAGCTACAACAGAAATGAGAAGCTGGTTATAAGTGGAGAAGCTACTTACAACCAGTTCAGTTCACTTATAACCAGTCAGGGTTCAGTTTGCAGTAGACTTGGGGATAGCAGGATCCAAGCTCATCAAAGCTCTGCAAGGCCTGACGAGGCGAGGGTCCGAGTATTCTCTCTTTCTTGAAAGCATGAGCCATCTGTTATTCATACAAAGGTTAGAATGAGGAGTAGGGTTGGCTCCAGGACTTTAAACTGTAGATAGTGAAGAACATAAACTGCTATTGGTAATATTTGGCGATACCTTATTTTCTGTTCTACTGTATGGCAGGCATAGGTATGACCAGTGTGCATGAAGATCCATATTATTTACCACATGCTGCTGCCCAAGAACATTAAGAGATTGGGGTTCCATAGGTATGCATAACAAGGTAACAGGTTAGGTACCTAAATACTGAGGAACCTGTGTTATTACTACTGCATGCTGCCCAGTTCTCAGTATTAGGAGGGCCAGTGTCAGTACAGTTAATATATAGTGAGGTTTTCTGTTGTTACAGACATCATCTTCACAGTTAGGGTAGGGATCAGGGACAGACGTTGGAAATCTAAAGCCTAAAGAACCGAGTTGTTACTGAAGTTGCAGAAACTGCAGCATGCTGGTCTCAGTAATGATCAGCTCTGTCTCCCTATTCACTGTGTGGGTTCTCTGCTCAGGAGTGTGGATATTGGATGAATTGGGTTTTTTTACAGGGCCTGCAGAGCTAGGAATGAAGGGTACTGGTGTCAACAACCACAAATACCCATATTCTGCTCTGCTGTGGGAACAAGACCTTAGTTTTATCTTCAGATACCATGATAGAGGACCAATTTTATTAATGAGTATAGTAGCTGACTTCCATGCATTGAAAAGAGTGGATTGTTTTACCTTCCTTTTTATATCAACACTGTAAATTTATGCCTAGTGAAGGAACGCACTGAGCGCTGTTGCAGCAAGAAAAGGGCAGGACATACATTTTCACTGTCAGAGCTGTTTTCATATAAACACTAACCTTAGTGACAATCTTGCAGAACAGCATGTTGTGACTGATTCCCAGCAGTGACTTTGAAATGCAGAGCAGGTTTTGTTGTCCTTCTGCACCACCACATACACACACACAGGCAGCACCCTCCCACACGCACGTCTCACAAAGCTTTCCAACCTGCCTGTCTCTTTTCAGTAGACCCTGCTTTCAGCAGTGTCGAAAAGGACAAACCTCTCTCACTGGGAGACTCTTTGAAACAGGCTTGACTGGGAAAAAATGCACCAATTTGATGCAAGTCTGGCTTTATGTAAGCTAAGAGGTCAGGTCTATGGTAATCAAAATAATATATACAAGTAATACAGCAGTGAATGTTCTGTGTAAGCTTGTAACCAGAATGGAAGCTATAAATGTCAAACAATAACATTGTGAAAAGCATTTAAAAATAATAATTACCTTTATTTCTCTGTAAATTCCCTTTTTCCTAGGCAGTCCCCTGGAGCACAAGATGAGGAGAGATGCTGGTGCTCTCTTTCTCTACAGGTACAAATAAGTAGCAAAGGAGTAGGTCATATTCAGTAGGGGAAACCTGACCTTATGATCTGTTACTGTCCTTAGCCCAAGAAAGCCCAATGCCCTGGTGCTACGCATCTTAGAAAATATTAGTTGCATATGGGTTAGGAGGGAATGTAAAGGCTGTTTTTTCTCACTGAAAGTTACTGTTTTATTCTGTAGGACAGACTTTTTGCTGCTGCTATTAGTACAATAGACAGTTTAGAGCACTTTCAAGTGGTGTGTGCATCCATATCCAAAAGCCTTTGGGTTTGAAGAGAGCAATCTAGAGAGTAATGTAAGTGCACACCCCAGGCTCCTCTCCCTCAGTAGCCTGCAGTCACCAATTTCCTACATCTTTATGGGCTATTCAGGAAAGCTGCAAGTAGCAGAAGGTGATCTGCAGACGATGAAGGTGGAACACCACTGCTCGCAGAAACTCCTCCATGTGATCACAGACATCCCTGAGTAACTGTGTAGGTCACGGGAGGGGTGTTAGGCATCAAATGTGTGTTACAGGGCAGGGCTCTCCAAAGAACAAATCACCATTTCTAACACATGGTGTGGTACCAGCAAATCTTCCTCCTCCTTTCTGGATGAACAAAGAAAGGTAAAAACATTTGTATGGCCATATCATAGAATCATAGAACCATAGAATGTGTTGGGTTGGAAGGGACCTTAAAGATCATCTAGTTCAACACTTCTGCCAATGCCCATTAGACCAGGTTGCTCAAAGCCCCTGTGTCCAACCTGGTCTTGAACACTGCCAGGGATGGGGCAGCCACAGCTTCTCTGGGCAACCTGTGCCAGGGCCTCACCACCCACACAGTGAAGAATTTCTTCCTACTATCTAATCTAAATCTCCTCTCTTTCAGTTTAAAGCTGTTCCCCCTTGTCCTATCATTACATGCTCTTGTAAAAAGATTTCTTATAGGCCCCCTTGAGGTACTGGTAAATTGTTATAAGGTCTCCCTGAAGCCTTCTCTTCCCCAGGCTGAACATGCCCAACTCTCTCAGCCTGTCTTCATACGGGAGGTGCTCCAGCCCTTGGATCATCTTCATGGCCACCTCTGGACTTGTTCCAACAGATCCATGTCCTTTTTATGTTGGGGACACCAGAACCGCACACAATACTCCAGGTGACGTCTCATGAGAGCAGAGCAGAAGGGCAGGATCACCTCCTTCGACCTGCTGGTCACGCTCCTTTCGATGCAGCCCAGGATACGGTTGGCTTTCTGGGCTGAGCACAAACTGCCGGCTCATGTTCAGTTTCCACTCAACAACACCCCCAAGTCCTTCTCCGCAGGGCTGCTCTCAATCTATCACCACACAGAAATTCAAATCCCAATTTTGAGACAGTTCAAGTAAAGACATGATATGGCATTGCCTCTCTTAGTGGGTCAGCTACATTCTCCTTGGGTTTTTCACAGAGGCAACTGAAGACAATTCTATTTTCTCTAATGCTGTGAAACCCTCACCTGTGCACGCACAGAACGTGTCACCGTGTCAGCCACGCAGGCTGACCCCACCGCCTCCGCTGCTCAGCCCGGGGTTTCGCTATGCCCTCGCCCTCACCCACACGGAACCCCCCTCAACCCCAAACCAATCCCGGCCTCTTCACGGCCGGGCGTCCCTTTAGGGGGTCACAGACCCTCCTGCAGCCCAGCCCCGCCCCGCCCCGGAGGAGCCGCGCAGGTGAGCGGGAGCCGCCCGGGCACCGGGGCCGGCCACGCTGCCGCCCCGCCCATAGGGACGAGCCGGGGGCCGGCCGACACCTGCCGCGGCCGCAGAGCCGCCGCTCCCGCCGGCCTCTTGCGTCTTTCCCGGCCGTGGCGATGGAGCCGTAGGAGCGGCCGCGCTTCCCCGGGGGGTAAGGAGAGCGCTCCCGCAGGCGGCGGGCAGGTCAGTGTTACCTCCTGTACCTGTTGCGCCAGGAACCGGCGGGAGGGAAGGAAGAAAGGAAGGAGGGAGGGAGCGAGCGAGGCCCCATTGCAGGAGATCCACGGGGTCCCGGCGGGAGGCAGCAGCCCCAAGATACCGGACTTCGGAGTCCGCTCCTGGGGCTGGGGGGCGGTAAGCGCAGGGAGCGTGTCCCCCGGCTCGGCTCCGGGGCTTGATTTAACTGTCCGCCGCGCACGGGGAAGCGGGCAGCCCTTCAGAACCCGTCACCGGGGCTCGGCCGGGGGCACAGCCCGACATCCCCCCCCTCCTCCCCGGCTGCCGGTGCCAGACCCGCGCCTCCCCCGGAAGCGTTGCCCGCCTCTCCTGTGCTGGGTAACAGCGGCGGAGGGGCCCGGTGCGCGGCGTGCCCGAGTGCCAGCCCGCCCTCTCCCTCTTCCTCCCTGCAGGAGCCCGAGATGGCGGACAGCGCCGCGGCCACCGCCGCCCCCCGCGCCGGCGTCAAGGGCGGCTCGGCGGGGCCCTGGTGGAAGTCGCTGACCAGCAAGAAGAAGCACAAGGAAGCGGCGGCCGGGCCGCCTCCCCCCGCCGCCGCCGCCGCCAGCGAGGCCCCCGCCGAGCCCCCCAACCCCGGCGGCCGGGAGGAGCAGTCGGTCCCGTTCGGCAGCGGTGAGGCCGCGGCTGCGGGCGGCGGCAACCGGCGGAGTCTCCGCGTCTCGCACTCGGGCCGCTTCAAGGAGAGGCGGAAGGTGCGCACCTCACTGCTGGCCGACAGCCCCGACGTGTTCGACGGCGGCGGTGCCGCGGGCCATGCCGCCCAAGGGGGCGAGTAGCCCAGGAGGGTTTCGCCCCGGAACAGTCACTGGACAGGGGGCCGGAGCCCGCGGTTGCCCCACAGCCTAGGTTGGCCTCGCTTGGCCCCATTGGCAACGTGGAGCAGCCCCCCCCGGCCTGACCAAACATTGTGGGAAGCCCGGCACCTCATACGGACAAGTGAATCGCGTGCAGTGTCACGCCAACACCGCCAAGACCAAAGCCCCAGGTGACGGGATGCTGTGATTGTCTTAAAATAACACCAATAAACACCCCACTCCCTGCACTGTGGTGAGCGGACTCGAAGGTGCTATCCCAGGGCCGATGCTGGGGTCCCTTTACCTTCCCCCAGCCCTTGCCAGGAGCCAACATGCTGATGCCTCAGGCCTGTAAGCCAGCTCCTCTCGGCTCTCGGGCCGGGGAGACGCTTTGCTGCTCTCATCTCACACGCTGTCTTATCGAAGGAGGGGGAACAAAGTGCTCTTAATCTGATTTCAGGGCTGAGGATCTCTGGTGGGGGCTTCTGCCCTGCGTTCGCTGACACACCAGGAGCCCATCCTCTTTGCCATGTAGGGGTCGAAAGAGAGGTATTGTGAGGGGCAGGTGCTTCCATTGCCCATGGCCCACACCACATTGTATTTAAATATGCAAAAAGCAGGACTGTGCTGGTATTCTCCCTCTCCTTATTGTGTAATGGTAAGCGGGTTTTCAGAGGCTGGTCTCCCAATAGTTCTATTACAGAGGGAGGCAGCTTGTTGTCAAGCAATTCATGCTATTTACCTAGGGAACACATGATTTTTGCATAATGAAGAAATTGTGTGATAAAATGTAAATTCTCTTTTGGGGGATGAGGCTAGCACAGGTAGGGTTGTACTAATGTGGAAATAGGCTTGGGCACCACTGGAAATGTTCTTTACTGTTTACCATGTCCAAGGCTTGTGAAGCAAGATTAAAGATTCCCAAGATTTCTTTTGATAGCAAAATAATGTGCTTTAACTCTGGTAACTGCTTCTTTTGACAGCTCCTGGATTTTTTGACAAAGTAAACTATAAACCAGATTTGTACTGGTGGTGTGCCTTACAGAGCAAACTCTGCTAAAAACACTCAGCTATTACACATTTCTGGATAGTAGGTGATGTAGCAACAACTGACTTATTTATTTTAAATGCATTCCCAATACACTTTGTATTTTTTAGACCTTTTCTGAATGTGAGATAAGATACTCCATAGTGGCAGAGACTGAAAATCATTTCCTAGGAGTCAGGTATTACACAGTTATGATTTTGTTTGGCTGTAACTAATGATTCAAGGTCAATTAAAAATAAAAAGTGAATCAAAAGAAACACGAGCTGAGTTCCAGGTGAAAATACCAAGTAAAACAGTCACTGACAATCTGGGCAAGTGCCCTGTGGTTCAATGTGTGTGATAATACATAATGGACTTTGAAAGCTCCTGTGTGATAAAACACAACCTAGTTGGCTTAGGTACTTACTGGTCTGTCACTCAGCTGTTCCTCCAGACTCTGAAACCCAAGGACAGAGGGATGGTAGCATCAAATCTGTTTCCATGAAAGCTTTTTATCTACCTAATGTATGGACATACGCTCTTCCTATTTAGTAAAACCACAAGGTTCTGGGTCTGGACTGCCTTTTTGATGTTCCTGACTGCATGCTGACCAAGGAAAGAGCTGGGGGGTTGTGCGGGGAGCTCATAAATGTTTCTCCTTGGAGATGCTTTTCTTCCATGGAGCCTTTTCATTCAAGGGGCATCTGAAATCCTTCTGTTGAGAAGCAGCAGCTGGAGCAAATGCAGCCTCAGATGAAGTGGTGCAAGAGAGAAGGAGGGAAGTTTAAAACCTGGGAACAGAGGGAGAGATGAAGAAGAGCCTGTACTTCAGCTACAGCTAGCCTGAGGCTAGGGCAAAGGAGGTGGAAAGGGGTTGCTTTGCTGCCAGGGTTGTCATACTGCCTTTTGGAAGGCAACATTTATTTCAGGTGAACAAATCTGCCTGTGTTTATGTATTCTAGGGCCCAAAGAACCTTTGCTGTATGTGTGTATTCAAAATGGAAGAACAAGTAAGCAGATCCTGCACTGGTGCATTTCTTACTCCTGTGTTTGGTGCGACCTCTGTGTGGGTCAGATCTTCAGAGGCATGAGTGACCAGACTAGTGCTTTGCACATCTCATGCTGATGCTTTTCTGCATTTTTAATCCTACACTACTATGAAAATACAATTTCCTCTCTTCTGCACCTCCCAGTACCTCTTTCTACAGTGAACATCCATTTGCTCTTTGTAAACGTTTCAGGTTTATTAGTGGGAAGTCTTTACCAAGGCACAAGATACCTCCCAGTTCGGGTTTTGTTTGAGAAGTCTGGTATGCTGTTGAGATGGCTGCTTTTAAGTTTTTATATCAATACCAGTTAATTTGTGACTAAATATTCACTGTGTCTTAATCCTTTCATCTTGGAAATTTGGTCAGAATACCAAATCAATAAATGCACATAAAATGACTTGCAGCCATCCTCCATCTTTATCCTGACCTTGAGCTGTGGGAAGGAGACGTAATTCTATCTTCCTGCTCAGTCAAATCCTTGCTTCAATGAATTTGATAGCAGCCACTGAAAAACTAGATCCATGAGAAAATGGGCTGACTGCCTCGTCTCACTTTCCCCACCCTCCAAGCAAGGGCCACACAGCAGTATCTTTAGGTTAGTGGTGACCCGTGTACCCCAGCGAGGAGTGAGAAGCCCTGTTGGCCATAACCAGCTTGCAGTGCAGAAACAGTCCTCTTTTTTTCTCAGTCTGAGCATCAGATAAAGTTTTAATTAATCTATACACATGTAAATGAATTAAGCTGATCCCAAAAAAGATGGCATTTCATGGAGCACCTGAATTACGTATTTTTTTTAACCCTTAGAGTGGAGAAAGTTTAACCTTTCTTTTGTGTTGGGGAATACCTGCTCAGTTATAACAATAGTGCAGTTCTGTGCATTGAATTATTAAAAGCCTCTTGGCATTCTTAATATAGGTATTTTCCTCATCTCCTTTATAAAGATCATGCACCACAAAGTAAGTGTAGGAAACAGGGCAGCTGAGAAAGTAGTTGCTGTTTGTTTTGAAAAGCAAGCTGTGGCATATTGACAAAATAAATGGAAATAAGCAGACAAGGTTCAACCTCAGCTACGTCAGCTGTAGTGCAATTTTCTTAATATTATTCTAGATACTACCAAGGACTGCAGGGTTGGGGCAAAAAAATAGACATTCAGTAAATAGAGTGAACTTTTCAAATACACTTGCAAAGTATATGCCTGCTTATTCCTGCTCTTGCTAAGACTAAATATACATCTCTAAGTTAGCTGCCTGGTGAATCATTCCCTGCTATTGTAGGCTGGTCAGTCTGGACCTCAACAAAGATTATAGGGAACACTGGCAGAAAATGATCCTAAATTGGAAACGCTGGAATAAATGCCTTGAAAGCGTCAAGACTTTTAACCTCAGATGTTATGTCAGGGTATGACTTAAACTGAACTGAAAGAATGGAGAGGGGTATCCACTTGTTTGGGTTTGTTTTGTTGTTGGGTTTTTTTGTTTGTTTGTTTGGTTTTATTTCTGTTTTCACTATAGTACAGCCAATGATAATCTCATATTTGAAATATCAAGTCACCTGTCCATTAGCAAGATAGCTTCATACAAGGGCTGCAATCTGAAGGACAGAACTCCCAGCCTTAGCCTGGCCAGCACAGCAGCATGCTGCATGCTAAAGCCAGTGTTTAATTTAGCTTATTCAAGCATCTTATATTTAATTGGAAGAAAAGCTGTTTCAAGTGCAGGTACAAACTGGAAGCTCATTTTGTTGCCTTTTGGGATCCTATCTGGTAGGGCAAAAGAAAGAAAGAAACACAAACCTGGTATTTTCTAAGATGTCTTTAAAAAGCTGGGGTGAGAGAGGGTTGGTTATAGAATTATATTTGAAACCATATAATTACACCATTTTGAAAATCAAACCTTTCCCCTTCATCACTTTTATTGTAAGTTAGATGGGAGACCTGCTGGCTCTGATTTTTCATTTCAGAATAAACCAAAAGGGATAAAGTTGCTCAATTTTATAAACACCAGAAGTAATGAAGTAGTCTCTTTTTATCTGTTTTATCCTTGATGACACATCTGCAATCCACAAATAGCTCTAAGAAACAATATTTGGATGTAGTCTTCAACTAAAGCATATTGATTAGCAGCTGCAGCTTACAAAACTGACTTAGTGCCCATCCCTCTAGATAAAGCAATATAACATCAGGTAATGCGTGTCTTGGGGATAGCAAACAGTTTTCCATGATAGCTGTAAGGCATGATTTTAAATGAAAAATTTACTCTGGTGAGTAATCATCAGATTTGAACATCATGTTTCGTGTGAGTAAGAATGAGTTAGAATGTTTTTCAGGGTATTAGTTACCAGACTATCAGATGGTTTGGGATGCGTGAAGTAGGCTCGATTCTCAGGTGCAAGCCTGTATGTGCTGTGAATATTCTGCCACCTGTTTGCAATGCTTAAGGTCTTTATCCAAAGTTACTATTATGGTAGCTCCTTTTACACTAAGGAGGTAAAAAGCATGCCTCTCTGCATTACTGAAGGTAAGAACCATACCTATGTATTGTCTGTTAGAATGAAAAATGAGAGGTACCAGGCACTTGAAATTTGTTGGCTTACTCTTTTTGTTTCCTGCTGACAAGTTCATTTTGCTATCCAGGTCTTTGTTTTATCCCCAGCCTGTGAATGTGTGAGCAGATAAAGTATCCGCTCATCTCACAAGAATTGCTCAGTGATGGGAGAGTGGCCAAGGAAAAAGGAAAAGTTGTAATAGATCCATTTCTGCATGTGCTTCTGGGCACATTCCTACTCAATTTTGTCAACAGGAGCAGAACTGAGCCTTAGTCTTGATTCTGGAAACACAGCTACCTGGGAACAGAAGGAGCCTCATAGCTTGCACGTCCTTAGTTGTGTTTATCTTGGCATGCATTTTCAGTGACAGGTTTCCAAAAATCAGAGCTGGTTTACCTGTTTTA